CCACCAAAAAGTATGAAGTCAGCTTTTAATCAACACCATTTAAGTGTCTCATGGCAGGACCTCTTTTTTTTTTTAATGATTTTATTTATTATGTATACAACAGTCTGCCTCCCTGTATGCCTGAAGGCCAGAAGAGGGCGCCAGATCTCATTACAGATGGTTTTGAGCCACCACGTGGTTGCTGGGAATTGAACTCAGGACCTCTGGAAGAACAGTCAATGCTCTTAACCACTGAGCCATCTCTCCAGCCCATGGCAGGACCTCTTAAAAGAACTGCAAGGTTTTGTAGCTAAAGCTGATTCAGGAAGCCTCTCTTAAATGAGAGTGCTAGCAAGCAGAGCCCACCCAAGAAAGAGCTGATATCAAGAAGCCATGTTTAACTCTATTCTTTCCTATCTAGAATAACACCCCAAGCTCTCTCAGGCTTTTAAGTGAATTTGGTCAGCCCCATGTTGGGTGCCATTTGTTGACCAAGTTTTCTGTCCCACCTGGTCCTGCCTGGTCAGGCAACCATTCAGTCACAAAGAAATCACACAGAGGTCTACATTAATTATTAACTGATTGGCCTAGTATCTGAGGCTTCTTATTAACTCTTATAACTTATGTTAACCCATAATTCTTGTCTGTGTTAGCCACATGGCTTGGTATCAGTGAGGCAGTCACATCTTGCTTGCTCTGTGTCTGGCTTCCTCTCTGTCTGGGTGATGACTGCAGACTGAAACTTCTCTCTTCCCAGAATTCTCACTGCCCTGCCTCTACTTCCTGCCTGGTCACCCTGCCTATACTTCCTACCTGGATACTGGTCAATCAGTATTTACTTAAAATACAAGTAACAGGGTGCAGGCCATTGTCCCACAGCACCTCTAGGTGCTACTCTCACCTCTGGGACCCTTTACCGTCCCCAGTGGTTTGGATTCCTTGCCTTGCATCTCAGGTCTTCCTCAGCTGAAGCTTGCTGGGCTGGAGCACAGCTTTTATAGTCTCCTCAGGCTAAAACAACAATGCAGAGGCCCAGGGCAAGATGACGCCAGCCTTGCAGGCCAGGAACTCCTAAATCAGCATCCCAGCTGTGACCATTGCCCTCCAGAGTCCAGGATTTACCACTCTGGAATTCCCCTTTGCCATCATGGTGGGAACCTTCTGCACCTCTGGTTAGGCTGTTTTCTATAGCCTTCCTCTTCTGCTTGCTTGTTCCATTTCGTCCCTTTGGTTGGAGACTGTCTTTCCTCAATAGTTCCAAGTTCAATGGCTTTCAAGAATAGCGTGTAGAGGGTGGGGTAAAGGTGTGGGGAGCTTCATGCATGAAACGGTCTCATGAACTCCTGCCCCAACGGCCAATCAGGGTTGCCTGCCTTGGACTTGTCCACACCAATAGGGTGGAAGAGTGCTCCTCTAAGCTGGGATTCCCTGAGGAGAGTCCAGGCAGCAGCATATTCCCAACTGGGGGTGGGGCAATCATCTCAGAGTCCTGAGCTTGCAGGACTCCAGAGATAGGCAGTGACCCTGGAGGGAAGATAGGCAGTGTCACTGTGTCCCAGGATCCCCCACCATGACCACCCACCATATCCCCAAGTCTAGGCTGGATTCCTGTCACTTGCTCTTGAAAGGGAGTCCCATGACTTCAGAACTGCTAGGCAAGGCCAGACATTGTACAGCCTTTCTTTGGGGGTGCTTCTGCTACCACTGTTATGAAATCACATTTTCTTGGTAAGGTGTGATGGTGCACATCTGTAACCTTGGTACTCGAGAAGTTGAGGTGGGGGCTGCCATGAGTTTGAGGCCAGTTTGGGCTACATAATGAGTATCAAGTCGGGACTACATAGTAAGATATTGTCAGTTGTGTGGTGCGCACCTTTAAGCTCAGCACCCAGGAAGCTGAGACAGGCAGATCTCTGTGAGTTCTAGGCCAGCCTGGTTCTACAGAGAGAGTTCCAGGACAGCCAGGACTAGAAATCCTGTCTTGAAAAAGAAAAAAAAAATTTTGTTTCAAATTCAGAGAAAGAGAAGGAAAAAGAGGAGGAGGAAATGGAAGTGGAAAATAGGTAAGAAAGAGAGAGTGGAGGAAGGAAGGGACGAAGGAAGGAAGGAAGGAAGGAAGGAAGGAAGGAAGGAAGGAAGGAAGGGAGGGAGGGAAATCCAACTCCCTCTTTTAGCCTGAGCACTTGCCCACGTGTGACACACACACAGACACACATATAAAATAAAAATAAATCTAATCTTTTTATGGTTGTACTTTTTGTAATTGTTTTTCTTCCTTCCTTCCTTTCTTTTTTCTTTTTTCTTTCTTTCCCTCCTTTTTGACTTTTTGTCGAAGGTAGGGTCTCTCTAGTCTTTCTATGTAGCCCTGGCTGTCCTGAAACTTGCTCTGTAGTCCAGGCTGGCCTCGAACTCACAGAGATCCACCTGCCTCTGCCTCCTGTGTGCTGGGATTAAAGATGTGCTCTTCCACACCACGTTTTGTTTTGTTTTGGAGATAGGGTTTCGGGTACCCATGGCTGGCCTTCAGCTCCATGCATAAATTAGAGTTACCTTGAATGTCCAGTCCTCCTGCTTCTATTTCCCCAGTGCTGGGATTCCAGGCTTGCACCATCACACCTGATCTACTCCAGGGCTTTATGCATGCTCCTCAAAGACTCTACCAACCAGCCACGCTCCCAGCTGTTTGCTTCTCGTTTCCCTTGTATCACGAGTATTTGTGTTTATTCACTCTTCATAGAAATAACATTTTTATAAAGCTAATTCAGAGAGTGTACTTATTTTTTAAGATTTATTTTGTGTATATAAGTGCTCTATCGACTTTATTCCAGAAGAGGACATCAAATCCCAGTGTAGATGGTTGTGAGCCACCATGTGGTTGCTGGGAATTGAATTTAGGACCTGTGGAAGAGCAGCCAATGCTCTTAACTGCTGAGCCACCTCTCCAATACTCTAGAGGTTGTATTTAAAACAAAACAATTTTTTTTTGTTTTGTCTGAATCAGGGAAGGTCTCACTATGTAGCCCCCCAAAATCTTGGTTTTCTGATTCTTTTGCTTCAGCCTCCTGATTGCTAGAATTACAGGCAGGTTTAGTTTTGCAAATGTACTATCTTCTGTCAAAATATATTTTCATAGCCTGGGATACAGAGTAAGTTCCAGGCTGGTTTGGACACTATAACATAACCCTTTCTCAAGATAGAGAGCAGTTCCCCAAGGCCGGGCCATGCTCACTCTCTGACCCACTTCCCTGCAGCCTTGCCTAGTAGCCGCCTTCCAGGCTTTGCTAGCCTGTAGGTGACAGCCGAGGTCCCTTTGCTACGGCTTTGATTTGCATTACCTTAATTACTAAGGCGAACATTTCCCAGCACATGTGTTAGCCAAATTAGCTTCCCCCTGTCACCTTGTCTATGTCCTTTACCTGTTCTACCTTTCAGACTCAGTGGGCTTTGTTTTGCTTTGTTTTCTGACTCATTTCTCCTAGCGCTTTGAGTAACAGTGGAGTCATTCCCATATTTCCTATGTGGGCCGTAGCTCTTTTCTTTTGGGATAGCTACCTTGACTTCTGACCTCAGAAGATGATGCCCTGGAGGACCAGTGAGCCGGCTCAGCAGGAAAGGGGGTTTCTGTCAAGCCTGTGGCCCAAGTCTGTCCCTGGAATCCATATGGTGGAAGGAGCGAGCTGACTGCTGCAAGCTGTCCTGTGGCTGCCTCCTCCCCCACCCCCAACACGTGAACACACACTAAATTAATAAATGTAATGATTTTAAAAAAAAAGTCAAAATGCCCCCAAAGAGCTCTTAATATTTGGAGAGACTTGATTGGACTCCTTCACCTCCTCTGTATGGGGACGTGTGTAGAAGACATTCGGCTTTTTGCTGTTGCCCATGGTCACGGGCTATGCGCTCTTAGCCTCTGGTCCAGGACCGTCCAGCCCAAGGCTGCTCGGGTGTAGCTGGGGACTGGCTCACGCTCATTTCTGTTGCTCTTTTCACTTCACGGCACAGTTGTGTGGAAAGCAATTGTGTTTAGAAGAGAGAAGAGGGAGAAGAGAAACTAGAAGCGCTCCAAGGGGAAGCCCTTAGCTCCGAGGTAGGGTAGATTGATCGCTGTCTGTCTGTCTGATGTGAGGCCACCCAGTCACTGTGAAACACTTAACACAACTTACAATTAGAACCTTTCCCTCAAACTTAAGGGTCTTCCTGACATGTCCATGGTGCAGGGTGAGCCCTTTCTTCTCCTCTGCACCCTGTTCCTAAAACTCTTTGGCATCTGTGTGCCTCTCACCCAATCCTTTCAGGAGCAAACGCTGGAAAGAACGAACAAATCCATAGTGACACATGACTTTAATCCTAGCACTAGGGAGGCAGAAGCAGTGGAACTCCATGAGTTCTAGGCTAACCTGGTCTACCCAGTGAGTTCCAGCCTAGCCTGTCTCAAAAACAAAACAAATAAAAACAAACAAGGAATGAATGAATGAACGAACAAACAAACGGATGTATGAGTCCAGAGTCCTTTCTTCTCACAGCTTGGTCTTTTAGTATCAGAGGAGCCCCATGCCTGAGCACCCACCCGGGGACTACGGGGACATGGTTGTATAGGAGTTGTAGAGAAGGTGGCAGCCTCTGGGGAAGTCCTGCTTGTGGATTCCGCCACCTCCAGGGAACAAGGGCCCTGGAAAAGCAGACACTTGTGGCTTAGGGACAGGCACAGCGGAAGGGACCGCGCAGGAGTGGCGACAGCCACCAGAGGGCAGCACTGCACAGCAAGCCCGGCAGACCGAGACCACAGCACTCTGTGACCCTGTGCTACCCTTTTGATCCTCGGACCGCCCCTGGCTCTCACCAATCGCTGCACACCTTCCTCACCAGCGGGGAAATTGAGGCGGGGCTCCCCCCCCCCTCCCGCTGTCCGGCTCCGTTCCCTGGCCTGGCGGGATCTGCTGTGAGACGTCCAGAATCTGGTCCTGCACCCAGTCTGTGGTCTGGAGGGAGTGGCCTCCTGAACCTCGAGTCCAGCTAGGTCTGATGTCAGTCTCGTGCCCCAAATAACTTCCTCCCAGGGACACTTCCGCCGCGGACGCACGTCCCGGAGCCCGGCGGGCGCACCCAGGGCAGGAACCGGACAGCCACCCTGCCAGTCACTATGCCGCCTTCCCAGAAGTGCTCTTGTCACGCCCAGAAGATGCACCTCCAGACTTGGGGGATGGGGGGATCCTATGCCCTGAGCCAATCCGCAGATGGGTGTGCTGGTCCAGGAGCGTGGGTGGGGGGCGCAGGGGCTCAGTCGAGGTCCCCCTTTCTTAGTTGAACTAGCAACCTGACCTTGGTCTTTCAACGTCAATGTTTATTACCCAACAGTGTAAACCCCAACCACCTTATAAACCCAACCACCTTATAAACCCCAACCACCTTAGGTCACTGATGTCAGATAAAAAGTAGGTGCTCAACAGATATCAAACGAATGAATGAATGAAATGGAAGGCCTCTGGATGGAGTAGACTTTGCCAGCATAAGTGGGCCCTACGGTCACTTGAGGGGGCAGCTAATAGTGGGGCCTTTTGGTCAGCTTGTGTAGGAGAGGGATATCTTGCTACCAGAATCCTGAAGTGGCCAGAGTAAGGGGTCTGGCCCCTGGGGTTCAGGGCCGGGTCATGGAGTTGGTGTTCTGGGCACCTCCTTCCTCCTGAAGAGGCACTGGGCAGGCAGGGCTGACAGGTTGGGTTGCATAGCCGAGCTGACACTCACCTCCAGCATAAAACCTCACTTCATGGAGCCTGCACCTCTGTAGCACTAGGGAGAGCTCCCGCCACCGCTGACCAGGGCTCTACCAACCACGGAGCCAGAGAACATGAGGCAGCCCCACATCCCTGCCTTGCTGCTGCTGCCACTGCTGCTGAGACCTGGTGAGTTGCTTCCAAGGGCAGGCAGTCCCCCAGCCACAGCTCTGGAGGGCCCCTCTGTGCTGCTCTGAGCACCCCGACTCCTGGGCCTGCCTGAGTCTAAAAGAAACCTCCTCGTCTCAGTGATGGGCTTCCCACAGAATATACTCCGGTTCCAGATATTCCACCTGGGGGACCTGGCTGGGGGCCTGTGGGAAGGCGTGACAGAGCATGTGACCATGGCCCCTCAGGGCCTCTCAAGGACCCCCAAGGCAGTGGTTTGGCTATAGCCACACCCTCATCTTCCTGGGGCTCTTGGTGTGCCATGCTCTGATTTGGGGGCTCCCCTAGAGGCCTATCTTCCCATTCTACAAAGGAAGAGACAAAGCCTCCATGCCTCCAAGCCTACGGGCTTTCACGTCCCTGGGCTTATGTGAACTGAGGTTGCCATCTGAGCCAGGGAGCCTTCAGAGTCTGAGGCTCAGCAGAGAGCTGGGGACAAGGGCTGCAGGCTGCAGAGGGGCCCAGCCTATAGAGGCAAAAGCGGTGCCCTACCCATCCTGAGCAGGGGTCAGCAAGTTCTAGCCAGGTGCTCCGCCTGGCAGGTCCTTCCCTGTGGGCCGGGCTTCTCTCTACCAGGGAAACTCTCCCACATTCCTGGGCCAGATGGGCCAGCCTAGCAGCCGCCACACTTCCCTGTCCTCAGTTCACCTCCCTGGGGCAGACCAAGTCACCTCAAATCATGCTTCAGCCCGGGCTCAAGAGATAGGAGGACATTGGTGGGCATCTCTTCAGTGATGCCCTCCCTCCCCAATGTCACCGAACGTTTCTGTCCATGTTCTCTAGCAGCAAGGACAATGGCACTGAAAGCCCATTTCCATTGGGTGTGACATGTTAGCAGCTCCCGTGGGTGGATCAATCGAGGTCATTGCCAACGTAGAAACGGCAGTCTGCCTTTGGCTCGTAAACAGCTGCAACCAAGGCTGGACCCCTGAGTGACTTGCTCACGTCAGCCCAGGGTGACCAGCTCCCCAGTAGTCCTCTGACTGGTCCTGCCTAGTTTCTTAGACCTCAGTCACTCTGTATCAGCTTCAGGGACCTGGAGCTCAGGGGGGCATAGACTAACACCCTGGCTGAGCCCCTACCACTGACAGGAGGTTTCTCTATCCCTGCACAGTTTCTGTGCTCGGGTCCCTAGAGGTAAGTTCTCCCTCCATAGAGCTCCAGGGCCTGAGCTCTGGGTGCGATCAGATGCCCTGGTGAAGGGCAGAGAGCTCAGAGGGGCAGTGGGGGTTCCAAGACACACAGTAAGTGGGGACAGCTTCCGTTGGAGTCGACCCTCGAGTGGACCTCAGTCTGAACTAGGACTGCGGAGACGGGAGCCTCAGCGTGCAAGGACTAAGCTGCAGCAGAGACAGTGGGTTACAGGTCAGGAGACTGGCAGGAGGGAAAATGCACAGAAGGTTCTCGCGAGCTCCTTGCGGGACGAGACGGGAGAGTTTTGCAGTGCACGTGTCCTTGAGGACAGAGGGCAGTGAGGCTAGGCAGCATTACAAGCTGACTCTTCAGGCCTGGAGGGCAGGTCCAGCAGAGTTCTAACAAGTGGGGGGGGGGTGTCTCTGGTCACATTTGCATTTTATTTTTTATTTATTTATTTTGGTTTTTCAAGACAAGGTTTCTCTGTGTAGAACTCTCTATAGACCAGGCTGGCTTCAAACTCATAGAGATCTGCCTGCCACTGCCTCTTAAGTGCTGGGATTAAAGGCGTGCGCCACCACCGCCTGGCTTTATTATTTTATTTGTATGTATTGCTTTGCTTCTCTGTCTTTTTCCTGTCTGTCTGTCTCTCCGTCTGTCTGTCTGTCTCTGTCTGTCTCTGTCTCTCTGTCTGTCTCTCTGTCTCTGTCTCTCTCTCTGTGTGTGTGTTAAGTGTACGCAGTTATCTTTGGAGACCAGAAGGGGTTGTTGGATTCCCCTGGGTATTGGGAACTGAACTGGAATCCTCTATAAAAGCAGCAAATGTTCTTATCCAATGAGATGTCCCCCCAGTCTCCAGCCTTTTGTTTATTTATTTATTTAATATAGTTTCTATTTTACTTGTATGAATGTTTTATTTGCATGTATGCATTTGCACATAATGCCAAGGGAGGCCAGAAAAGTGTGTTGAATTCACTGGAACTGGAATTACAGGCTGGGAACTGAACTCAGGACCTCTGCAAGAACACCAAGTGCTCTCAGCCGCTGAGCCATTTTATTTGAGACAACACAGAGAGCCTCAACTGACCAGGTCATCATTGTACAGCTCAGTCTGGCCTTAGACTCCATGCAATCCTCCTGCCTCAGCCTCTTGTGTGAGACATGCCGGGAAAACAGCTATGAGCCACTACACCTTATGCATTTGCACCCTGTGAAAACAGCTCGCAGGTCAGAAGTCCCGAGCACAGTTTCCAGGTGATTCCAGCTTCTATCAAGCTAACCACACACACAGCCAACCGACAGCTGCACCCTTCCCCATTGTCAAGGCCACACTCTGGATTTTGTCCCCCGGTAGCTTTGAGAATTGCACAACTAGGAGCTACACAAGGGAGAGTCCTGTGACATCCTTAAGGGCTCTGGGCACCGCTGGCCATGTGTGGCTCAGCCTGGCCATTTGCTGTCCCTGCGACATTTAGCATCCTGAAGCAGGTTTCCTTTTCATCCTTTCCTCTGGGCTCAGTTGTTGGGGCTTAGAAAAAATGTGGCCATCAAGGTGGAGACCCCACCCAGTTCTGACAGACCTGCCCACGGGAGCAGCAACCAGGAGAGTAAGCTAAAGCTAAAAGTCAGGTTGCCTGGGCTTGAACCTGACTCTGAAATGGAGCCAATGGGGATTGGGTGAAAAGCTGAGCAGTACGTAGGCGTGGGTGCTGGAGCCCTCAGACCTGCCCTATCCTCCTCCCTGTTTGTCCTCTCACTTTGATGGTGGTACAGTAGAGGGTCATGGCTAGCAAGAGGGCCCAGTCCTCAGGAATATAGAGTATTGGGAGGTTGCCCCTTGATCTTTGCCAGGTCAGCTCAACGCAGAGAGTGGCCATGAGTGTCTGGACCTCAGTTGGACTTGGGGAGAAGTTGAAGGAGACCTGCTCATTCTGAAAGACTATAAGGAGGGCCCTGATGCATCCATGTGTGGCCGCGGCCTCCAGGGTTTCCTGCCATCCAGAGCTGAGGCACTAGTGGGTAAAGAGGGGGAGGGAGACCCCACGGCTCTAGAATTTGAGGTCCATGCACTGTTCCCATTCCATACTGCAAGGCAAGAACAGGGGTGCGGGGTGGAGGAAGGGATCCCTGTGTGGACCAGGAGAGTGGAGGCCTGGACCAAGCAGGGAGGTCAACCCATTCAGCCATAGTGCTAACTTTCCTGGTTGTCCTCCCTGTCCTCAGAGGCCAGGGACTCTCTGATAAGGCAGAAGCAGGGAGGAACAGACCTTGGCTTGGCAAAGTTGCCTGATGACCCCCTTTTCCCCACTTCCAGGGACTGAAGGGGTCAGAGCTCTGAGAGGTAAGAGGGGTCAACTGAGATGGAGGAGGGGCTGGACACAGAAGGAGAGGAGAGGAGGGGAGGGAGGGCGAGAGGGAGGGCAAGAGGGAGGGCAAGAGAAAGGGAGAGAGGGAGGGAGGGAGATGGAAATGGCTGAGCAGAACTCCAAGAGGCAGTGGAAGAAGAAATCTCCCATATGATCAGCAAAACAAGACATGGTGGAAATACCAGGATGGGGACACCTTATCTGCTGTACCATGACTGTACCTCTGTCCCATCAGCCTGTAGAAGACATGATATGTGACCATCCTTCAGGGACCCATGCGTCCAGCTCTGGGATGGGAATTTTCCATGTCATTTCAACCTTTCTGACCCCAAGTTGGGTCTTGTCACCTCGTCATAAGTGAGAAGACCAAGGTCCATGGGAAGGGAGAACCAGAAAAGATCAGGCTGAATCAAAAGCCAGAATCAAAAGCCAGCTGTACTGGGGCCTCTTATCTGCTAATGTTCTGAGTGGCTCAGGGGCCAGAAAGGCCTGGACACTGACAGAAAGTGAGAGCTGGCATGTGGGTTGGGGATGGAGTTGAAGCCATGGCAGGCCCTCCCTCAGAGAGCACTTCCATGTTCCCCCAGCCTGCGGGCACCCAAGGATGTTCAACCGGATGGTTGGTGGGGAGGACGCCTTAGAAGGCGAGTGGCCCTGGCAGGTCAGCATCCAGCGCAATGGGACCCACTTCTGTGGGGGCAGTCTCATCGCACCAACATGGGTCCTCACCGCTGCACACTGCTTCTCCAAGTAAGTGACCCCGGCCCTTTCGGCTTCTCACCAATGGCAGGGACATGACAAGCTGCACATAACTGTTCAGTGTCAGACAGTGCTGGCATCAGCCTCCCATCCCCATCCCCCACCCCAGCTTTGTTCAATAACATCCAGTCTTCTGAAATTTTCCTTCAGGGACCTGCAGAGAAACCCAGTGGTTAAGAGCATTGACTACTCTTGCGGAGGAGCAAGGTTCAACTCCTCACAACCACATGGTGGCTCACAACTGTCTACACTTCAGGTTCCAGGAGAGCCAATATCCTCTTCTGGCTTCAGCAGGCTCCAGGCATGCACACGGTGCACAGACACACTTGCAGGCAAAACATCCATGCACATAATATTAAACATTTTTCCTTAGGCCCAGCTCTAGGCCTTGAAGCTGCAACCACTGCTGCAGCCCCTGCTCGACCAGCTGCTCTGCCAGTGCCACCTGGGGTCCTGTCCCTACAAATGCGACAGGCACCCCCAACACACCACACACCTCCCTCGTCCCATGCTCCCCGACCTCAAATCCAGAACTCTCTCTGGACCTTGGGTATCAGCTAAGCCCAGGATTTGGAAGAGACTGTCCCTCCTCCTCACCCTAAGCTTACCTAAGAGGACTCCCAGCTCGCACATTCGTGTGAAACAGCCCTAGAATCTCAGGCTCCCCAAATCTCAGGACCTCCTTCTTTATACATCTGCAATCCCCTTTTCCTTTATTACTGTGTGCTGGGGGGCGCTTGCGTCATGATGGGCACAAGGACTTCAGAAGACGACTTTCAGGCTTCCCCTTTCACTATGGGTTTTGCTGATAGAACTCCAGCTTTTAGGCTTGTGTAGAAAGCACTGTCACCTGCCGAGCGAGCCTGCCTGCCTCTGCGATTATTTCAAAAATCCCATGCTTCTCTTAGAAACTCAGGCTCCGAGGTGGCCGAGCTGGGGGTCCAGAGGCAGGGCTCCAAAGGGATGTGTGTACTAGAACAGGCTTTTCAGGTCGTCTGTGCTCCCATCTTATGAATGAGGAAACTGAGGACAGAAAACTTGTTAGGTCACTTAGCCAAGGTCACCCGGTAGCCAGGGAGAGCTGGGAATTAAAGGTGGGTGATCGTCAGTTTCTACAGTCTTTAACATGGAGATGACATGGTTGGGAATGCAGAGAGGTGTCAGATACTGCAGCAGACTAGAAAAACCTGCCCCTGTAGGGAGGAGGGTACTCACAAGTCTGCTCTTTCCATCAGCACTTCAGACATATCCATATACCAAGTCCTGCTGGGGGCTCTGCAGCTGCAGCAGCCAGGGCCACACGCCCTGTACGTCCGTGTGAAGCGGGTGGAAAGCAACCCCCAATACCAAGGCATGGCCTCCAGTGCTGACGTGGCTCTGGTGGAGCTGCAGGTGCCTGTGACTTTCACCAATTACATCCTTCCTGTGTGTCTGCCGGACCCCTCCATCGTCTTTGAGCCGGGCATGAAGTGCTGGGTCACTGGCTGGGGCAGCCCCAGTGAACAAGGTGAGGGGACCGAGGCCGGGGAGGAAAGGGGATGTGGCTGAAGAAAGGTCAGGACAGCTGGGCAGTTGTGACACACAATCCCAGCACTAGGGAGGCAGAGGCAGGGGATCTCTGTGAGGTCGAGGTCAGTCTGGTCTACAGAGTGAGTTCCAGGACAGCCTTCCTGCTGATGCTGGTGTACACGGTCTCTGCTCACTGGGCAGGGCGAGGCTAAATGGAGCAGGTGCTGTAGGGCTGTGCACGTAGGAGAGGGACGGGGAAGACAAGCAGGGCTGGTGCTGATGAGGGAAGAAACGGTCTATGAAGTTCTGAGGAGACCCAGGGAGGGATAGAGCCAGCTGTGGTTCCTGAGAGCCCAGAGCCTCAGGACTGTCCCCACGAGCTGCAGGCTTCCTTTCCTCCCCAGACCGACTGCCCAACCCACGGATCCTGCAGAAACTTGCTGTGCCCATCATTGCTACGCCCAGGTGCAACCTGCTGTACAGCAGAGATGCGGAGTCTGACTTCCAGCTCAAAACCATCAAGGATGACATGCTGTGCGCAGGCTTTGCAGAGGGCAAGAAGGACGCCTGTAAGGTAGGGTGGGAGGGCAAGCCACTGGAGCAGGGGCGCTCAACCATCCGACCACTTTAATACGGTTCTTCATGTCGTGGTGACCCCACCACAAATTCTCCATTGCTCCTTCAGAGCTGTAATTATGCTAGCAATGAGCAGTAGTGTAAATATCTGAAGTGCAGATGGTCTTAGGCGACCCCTGTGGAAGGGTTGTTCGACCCCCAAAGGGGTTGCCACCCCACAGGCTCACAACCCCTGCAGCAGAGGGAGCTAAGCCCAGGCAAAGGGCAGGCTGTGGTTCCGGCAGCTGAGACGAGTGAGTCTTGGATCTGAAATGGGGCCCCAAAAGCTACGTTTTTAGCATCCGCCACACTGGGTGTACGCCACGACAGGCAGGTTGGGGCATCACAGCAAGGGGAGAGCTTGCTGAAGAAGTCCTGGAAGGGGCTCTGTGATGAGCACATGAAAGCACCTTCGTGAGGCCAAGGTGGGTTCTGATTGGCCCTCTGCTTCCCCACAGGGTGACTCTGGAGGCCCCTTGGTGTGCTTTGTGGACCAGTCATGGGTGCAGGCTGGGGTGATCAGCTGGGGAGAAGGCTGTGCCCGCCGGAACCGCCCAGGTGTCTACATCCGTGTCACTTCCCATCACAAATGGATCCACCAAATCATTCCAGAACTGAAGTTTCAGGGCAGGGCCAGCAGCCAGCAGCAACGAAGAGACCCTCGAGGTTGGCAGCACTTGGGGAACTCTGCCTCCTGCCTGGCTGCCCACGCAGTCATGCTGACCCTGGTAGTTATGCTCAGCATCCTCTGAGCTTGCCCAGGACTGGCAGGTGGTGCCCTCCCCACTGGACATTTGTAAATACCCCCCCCCATCTAATATGTTAGCTACTTTTATTTATGCTCACTTCCAGAAAAAAAAGTGTCACGGCCCATCTGGGTATCCCTGCATGGCACTAGGGGCCGACAAGCTCTGAACTGGGAAGTTTTAGAGGAGACCCCGGCAGGCACACCCAGGCTACAACGTTCCTGACCCAGTGTCCCTGTTTCCACCCCATGACTGCTCACCATCCTAAATACCAATGGTTTTCCTGTTCCTGCACTGTGGACAGTTGACAGACACTGGTGGGAAGCAGGTCACAAGATGCCAAGCGCTTCAGTAGGAACCATGCGGATGATGGAGGGACATAATGGGGGCACAGCCTCCTTCCCCAATCCCACTTCTCTATCACCATCACACAAATCTAAGGGCCACCTAGGACCTGTGCATTCTCGTAACACTCAAGAACAACCTTTACTTCATGTTCTTCCTTGATCTCTGAGAATCCTCTTCTACTGGTCCATCCATGTGCTCACACGGGCAAGCATGTTTCAGGTGGAGCAGGCACTGTTATGGACTGGATGGGTAACCCTCAGGTGTGACAATGTGTACCTGTTGTCCCAACACTGGGGAGGCAGAGGCATGGGGAGTTCTATGAACTTGAGGCCAGCCAAGGCTACATTGTGAGGTCCTGTCTCAGAGAAGAAAATAAAACACGGAATGGATCACTTAGCACTTGCTATATACCAAACAAACACGAGGAATCTCCTAGGGCTCCACTCCCCACTGGCCACTGGCTCTGAGGATGGGCTGTTTGCTGAGTTCCTTCTCTAGACCATGTTGAATGTCTGGTCTAAGAATGGCTGGTTACTCTCCTACTTTAGAGAGGAAAGCTAGAGTCCAGACAAGGGTGCAGGGCAGACTGTGGGGATGCTGAGGACACCCCACGAGCAAGCTCTGGGCCATCATGGTTGGGAAGTGCTGGCCTGAGTCTCACAGGCATGGAGACTAACCCCAGCATGACTGTGATCTACCTTAGGAAGCAGGGGTCTGCCCAAAGGTGCTGGGTGATTCTGTTCCCACCCATGCATTCAGACAGCTGCCACCTGGGCCCATGGGCACCAGCCAACCAGAGGTGTGGTCTTGCCCCAAGTGGCACTTTGGCACAAGCCCAGGCATAGGCTCTGGAGAGTCCAGTAGCTGTGGACCCACTTCACAATGTCTCATAGTCTGCCTCTCCTGTCCCAACTGCTGTTTTCCCGCAATAAAAACTGCCCAAGCCATGTTCCAGGCCCCTCCAGGCCCCTTGTGACACCCTCACAGCTGGCAGGCTGTCTGGGGCTGAGACTAGATGCTCTGCCTTTCTAGTCTTCTGCTCAGACATGCCTTGTTCGAGGCTGTGAGGCAGGTCAGCATCAAGAGACCTCTCAGAGCGCCGGTGTTAACACCCAGGCTACTTGAGCGATGTACCATATCTCAACTAGGGCAACAGGACAGTCCCTGTCTGAACCCTTGGGTCAGTGGGCCACCAACCTGGCTGTGTTGCTTGAATGATTAGGACACAGGATACACAAGGGTGTGGCCACCAGAGACATCCCTGTTGACCGTGGGAAGCAAGCCCTCAGAGAACCGGAAAGAGGCTGCTTTCTAGGAAGAAGAGCACGGCTTTCTGATCCCCAGGACGCGCTGCTGGAGGGAAAGCACTTCTGCACACTTTAACACATTAACAGTTGCTGAACGCATTCATAAATACACAATTTTATTTACTATTTTCAGGGGAAACTTAGGCATTAAACGGTAGGCTGATAAAATACGGATACCTAAAAAAGTATAAAAGTATAAATATCCCCTTAGAATTTTAGTGAATTAAGTTTTAATATCATTAAATTAAAAAACAAAAACCCCCACAAGCCTATCTATTGTCAAGGTCATAAATCAAACAATGCTAAGTGTCCAGCGCTCCCCAGAGTAGTCCCCATGGCCAACAGCAGAACCACTGCCCCCAGGGCTGCTGAGCCCAATCAACCCAACAGAAAGGTTTTTATGAATCATTTAAGCCAAACATTTAACAACATACAACAGACCTTAGGAAAGGACGAGGTCAGTCCTAGATGCTGGAGAACTCGATTAATCAGTTACTGGCAGAGGAGAAGGAAGAGGGCCTAGGCAAGAAGTTTCTGGAAGCATCTGAAACAGTGTTAGAGGCTCTGACCAGCACACGGGCAGCCATGGTGGTCAGTTTGCACAGCTCCCATGGGAAGCCGGGGTCAAGAAGCACAGAGCTTGCTTGCTTGGGCCAAGTTTATGGCCTGCTACATCTCCTAACCAGCTAAGAAAGGTCTGTCTCAAAGCCAGCAGGCGCAGCCTCTGCAGGAACCTTGGCAGCTCCAATGTCATGTCAGGTGGACAGAGCCCATGCAGGTTGTGCAGTCTCAAACACTCCAGAAATACAAGAGAAGAACTGCATAGTTATACGAGGAAATGAGAGCCAGTGAGAAGGAGACATGTTTGCGCTGTAAACATCCTGAATGTTCAACATGACCTGGAGTGTCAGCTCCAAAGCCAGGTGGACAGGCCTCCCGCCCCAGCCTCCATCCCAGGCACGGCAAAGGCACTGGTAGGCGCCAGCTCCCCATGAGCCCACAGGTGGGGCACATGAGGCAAAACATCTACCTCCCTTAAATGATTTAACAGATCAATCCGAAATGTAGCAACACTTTTAGGCATTTCTAAAGAGTATAAACACCGGGTGGTCTATCCACACTTTAAAAAAGGGATACAAAGTCCTCTTGCCTGGAAAATACAAATTGAGAAGCCTTGATGATCCTGGGCCAAGCTGACGGCCACTACAAGAGCCTGGCTCTGAAAGGGTGTAGTCCAGGGGAGGTGTCCAGAAGTAGTGATGATGAGGAGGCTGCCTTTGTCAGGAGCCTCCGAGGTCAAGAGAAATCAACCAATCATGCCCGGAGGCACAGCCGCCTCCCTGACCCAAGGAAGAGGGCCTGGTGCTCAAGCAGCGCCCACGCCCTAAGCCACAGTGCACTGGACAGGGGTTGTGGCGGCTACCCCTCCCTCCTGGCAAGGCCCAGGCTGCCTGTTGCAGACTGTGTGTAGCACCAAGGACCTTGTCCTTCAAATCATCTTCAGGAATGCGTGGGCTGGTCAGTAGCATCCTGCCTCAGTCCCACGGAGCACTCGGAAAGAACAGAGTGAGGCCACGGAGACTGCCAACCCAGCCCTAGCTGCCTCCCTGTGGGGACGACTGGCTTGACAGCTGGGCTGTCTCTCGCCACCCACATCTGAGGCAAAAAAGGATCCACACCCAGATCTCTAGAGAAATGATCAAAAGCAGGTTTCTTCTCACAGCCATGCTTTCTGCACATGGTGGTTCACTTTGTCTTGGGGAAAGAAAATCACTTCTTCAGCTGTCAGTATCCTCACATCCTTGAGCCCCGTTCTTGCAAAATCTGAAAGATATAAAAGGCAGAGTGAGGGTGACCAAGTGCCCTGGTCAGAGAGCAGAGCTCAAAGGAGCCCTCAGCTAAATAACAGGGAGACTGCAATAGTGGGGGGGTGACATACTCCAGAGTCCCTTGTGCCCAGTAGGTCAGCCCCCACCCCATCCATCAGTGAGGACTGCACCCCCCTTCACTGGTCCCAGTCCTCTGCCTGACCTCAGGAAACCTTCCAGGCCGGGTCACGCTGTGGTGCCCTCCACACTGGGGCTGCATCCCTGCAGCACCTGCTGCCCCTCACCCTTGGCTCCCACTCCCAGGCTCCTTAGCTAGTACGCTGCGGTCAGCTGCATATCCGGGTGGGATGGAAGTCCCTGGAGTCCTTGAAAACTTGCTGGGGCTGGGCATATGAGCCTCTAGTAGCCTTTAGGGCTAGGATAGGACATGACTCCAGGCAGAAAGCTACAGAGCTGAGGAAACCTCACAGTAGCCATTTGGCATCTGCTACTGTGAGCAACCCTATTGGTCTGGTGCAGCAGGACGAGCAAGCTCTGGGAGGCTATGAGGAAGGGCTCAAGAGAAGACCTTCTCAGCAACGCATTCTCAGGTTGCTCCTGCATATCCCCAGCACCCAAGACACCATGCCTGCCCCTAGGCCAGCCTCTCTAACAGCTGTGGGAAGCCAAAATGGCTACCCTGGCACTTCATAGAGAGCTTCACAGGTCTATGAGATAGTGCTATTCCCTAGTCTGACAATGGCAAGCTCTACATGGCGGGCAATTTCTGAATTCTCCGGGATATCTGGAGGTGACTCTTGGCACCACCCTCTTACTGGGGAGCCAAGGTCTCAGCACCACCAGCTCTGAGCCAAGCAGAGCCAGCGTAGGTAAGGGTGTAGTTGGCAGAAGTGGTTGCGGGACTGTCTGCCCAGAACAGTGTGAATCCTGAAGGGGCTGAGCTCCATCAGGACCTGTAACAGCAAGACCATCATCCTATGGCCGAGGCTAGGCAGCCCTGTCTGTCTTGGAGAGTGAAACTACCTTATGCATGCGCCTGCCTTTCACAGGGAGGTCAGGGCATGTGGCTTCATCTGGGATCTCTGGGAGCTGGTGCCTGCTCCAGGTCTGCCTTGTGGGAGCCACTGTTTTGTTCCCACAGACCCAGGCTCCCAGAGCTAGAGCCATCAAAGCATGTTCCCTCAAGACTCTCAAGAAGTCTGAGACCACAGAAGTCACCTCCCCTCCCTCCAGGGGACTTTCAAAGCCTCTGAAGCCCGAGCACCTCCCCGTGACCTTCTCCGGGAACCCAAAGGCAGGGATGGCTCCCTTGAGCTTGTCAGTCCCGCCTGTCACAGCTCACACCGAGGCAGGTCACAACTAAGTCTCTACCTGGTGGCTGTGAACTCCTTCAGAGGACTATTACAAAATGAGGTGCTGAAACAGACCATACACCCATTTCCAGCACTGGGAAGTGAATAGGGGAACAGAAATTTATCTGGGCAGCAGAGACACACCCTATCTGTTAAATTTCATGTTTCCTTTCACCTTTTAAATGTGTTTATTTATAGACAGGGTCTCACTGTGCAGCCCTGGATGGCCTGAAACTCACACAGATCTACTTGCCTCTGCCTCCAAGTGCTAGGATTAAAAGTGTGTGTCAACGCACCCGGCCCTTCTGCCTTTTGAAAAGGAAGTTTAAGCACTTTGTTGTTGCTATTGGTGTATATGTATGCACACGCATGTGGCAGTCAGGCAACTTCCAGGAATTAGTTCCATCCTTGCACGGGTCCTGGGGAGTCACAGTTGGGTCACCAGGCTTGCAAGGCAGTGACTTTACCCACTGAGCCATTCCACTGGCCCTTGTTTTGTTCTGAGGAAGGGGTCCCTGTGCAGCTTAGGCTGCTCTGGTACTCGGAACCCTCCTGCCCCAGGCTCCAACCTTAGGGTAAAGCGCGACCTTGAGGACCTGAGATGAGAACAAACCCCATGGCTTTCATATTTGTTAAATATGAAATATGAAATCCCATTTATTTCATATTTCACTCACTGCTCAGCCCCAGGTGACATGAAGGCAACCCTAGGCTGTAGGTGGGACTGAGTGGGCACTCACTGCTTAACCCCAGAAACACTCTTGTGGCCACACCCACAGTCTCACATGACACAAAGCCTCAATTCTGCACACGGCACCCATGGAGGGACACTATAACAGAGCAGTACCCAGCATTCAAGCAACAGTCTCCTGTCCCTCCTACAGGGAGCACTACTGCAGACA